AAACTCTCAAGGAAAAGTTACCAGGCCGACGACGTAAACGCCGACTACCCGGAAGCGTGCGGTTTGTTGAGGAGGATGATACTTCTGATCGACTGCGCTCAGAGTCAAACGGCATCGTGGGCCAATCAACGACTGAGCTTGCTATAGCGTACGTTGCTGTTCAATGTTGTTGAAAGACAAGTGTGAACTGGAGTTTACTAAAGCTGTTGTGACTAAGTTTGTTGTAGACATACGAGGTCTCTCGAGTTCATCTATATAAGAATCAAACATCTTTCTTTACTATTCTACCGCGAGATTTCAAAGAGTTGTTGATTCTGGCTTGAAGTTGTGAGAGGATTCGAAATAAGCCCAATAGAGGCGGGTTCTTTGCTGTATGTCCAACCCTTGATTTCTAGACTACTCTGGTAGAGTAGAATCTTTGCTAACTATCGAACCATTTATTCATAGAGAAAGATGGAAAAGACATGAGCAACTCGTCAAAGAAGCGCATTTCAGCGAGACATGTTGCTGCAGCTTTGTCTCGACTGTGGCTCCTTGCTCTCTTGCTGGGATAGACAAGTTGGTTGGTTGTCCTTGTGGAGCCCAGGGCTGCCCTCCATCCTTAGTTGCAATTCAGCCCTCCACCGTCAACTCGGAAACGGGTCGGTTAGCTCAGTTGGTTAGAGCGTGGTACTAATATTTCACCTGAAATGTTGTGTAATGCCAAGGCCGGGAGTTCAAGCCTCCCACTGATCACGAACCTTTTGCCCCGGGCACAATCACTCTTTTGCTGAAATAGCTAGTTTCTATGAAGAACCATTTGGCGATAGACAATTGTGGTGGGCAAATTTGTGTTAAAGTTTTGTGCGCTGTGGGGAAAATGCTGTTGGAGACAGACCGCCCGAAAAAGTTGGAGAACAATCGCGGTTACTTCGACTTCCGTCGCGATAATCTATGTCTCTTAATTACCAAGAGGTCTGCTCATAATGGACATAATGCGCACAAATTTGCTCAGATAGCCGTGATCGTGCTTCCTGTCGTTGCGCACTTGGATTATTAGGGTAATTGTTAGCTCCTCATCGCATCACCTGATCTCTACATTTACGCCAGGCAGTAGTAGCCGGCGTTGGCCGTGAGTCTACGTTCACAGCTTCACAAGCGCACATGCGCCCTCAAAATTGGCTGTCCTGCCAAGCACTAGACGCCTGCTGCGATGTAACTCTAACGGGAAGGCGAAGAAGAAGATATTCAGGCTAATATGGGAATCCGGCATTGGGTCAGCCCTTGACTCTCCCGTAGCCACGGTTCCCTAAATATCGACGCGTTCATTAAGGACCCTCGATCTTGGACCTCATTATCGCAGCGTGGGTGGCTACTGGTGGAATTTTCTTCAGATCCCGGTTTATGGACCCGGAACTTGGAATGAGCTCGTCGACGCCAACCACTTGCACATTACGGACAACTTTCCTTTTCTCTGTCAACCTTTCCTTCTGGTTGCTTCCGTCTGCACAGCAACCCCGCGCTCACACGCGCCCAAAAAGAAATCTTGGAAATGGGCCTACGGCGCAGGCGGGATGCCCACTTTCTCCCCCTCGCGCTAGCCCAGGCACAGGAATTCTCGGAGCACCCTCCGAGCGCCAAGTCAGTTTGCCAGACATGGCCACGGCACTGCTGCTGTTGCTCCGTCTGACTTGCGCGGCCAGTATGCCCATCTGGTGCAAGGAGACATCAAATAGTTCTCAGCAGGTTTGCACATGACGCGATCGAGCTGAGAGAGGTTCACTCCGGGTAAAAAGGATGAATGTCTTTGCAGGAGATCTGAGGGCCTTAGCTGGTTGATGCTGAACCCTCACGATTATTTCCCCAACTTTTGCATGTGTGGTTAGCAGCGGGAAGCACATCCTTCGGGCCGGCGATGCCACACCCCACGTGGGAGAGTCGAGAGCCCAGGACTATTCCAAAGTGATGTTCGATGGCCAGCCAACCTAATGAGAGCCAAGAGAAAAGGGTGAAAGCAGCATGCAATGTGACCCCAGGTCAGACCTCCCTCGCGATGGAGGTGTTCAAGATCATGTATAAGTCTACGGCGCCCATCCCTGGAAAGATGTCAACAGGAGATGATGCTCTAGTTGCCAGACGTGTGCGCATCGCTCAGATTATCGACCATCAATCAGAACCAGAGAGTCGAACATCATGTACGCCAAGGCTGTTCTTGCGGTTCTGTTGGGCTCCGGCCTCGTGTCGGCCCAGCTCAACACCCTTGCCGTCCGCGCCGGTCTGAAGTACTTCGGCACGGCCGTCGATGAGCGCCGCACAACCACGGACGCCGCTTACATGGCAATCGTGAACAACACTGCCGAGTTCGGTTCCTTGGTACCTGAGAACGGACAAAAGTGGGCGTACACCGAGCCTACTCAGAACACCTTCTCTTACACCTCCGGAGACATTGTACGTGATGCGCCAGGGCATGGGGGCTTGGCTAGATCCATGAGACTGAGCCCGGACTAACTCGATTATTTGGCTTAGATCCCGAATATTGCGAAAGCAAACGGTCAGATCTTGAGATGCCACACTTTGACATGGTAGACATCCCTTGAGTATGAGCATTGGTGGTGCACAACTCTGACCAGGAACCAGGCACTCTCAACTCCCCAACTGGGTCTCGAGCGGATCGTGGACAGCAGCAACCTTGACTGCCGTCATCAACACGCATATTTCCAACGTCCTGAAGCACTACCTCGGCCAGTGCTACGCCTGGGACGTCGTCAATGAAGCCGCAGCCGACGATGGAAGCTGGCGCACCAGCGTCTTCTACACCGTTCTCGGCACCGACTACCTTCCCATCTCCTTTAGAGCTGCCAGGGCTGCTGATCCCAATGCCAAGCTGTAAGCCAGAAAGGTCGGTCTCTACCGGTCAAGACTCCATTGCTAATTCAACGGCCCAGCTACTACAATGATTACAACCTCGAATACAACGGCGCAAAGACCAATCGCGTCTACGAAGCCGTCACCATCGTCCAGAACGCCGGCGCCCCCATCGACGGCGTTGGCTTCCAAGGCCACTTGATCGTGGGCTCCACCCCGGGCCGCAGCGCTCTCGCGACCGCCCTTCGCCGCTTCACCGCCCTCGGCCTCGAAGTCGCCTACACGGAGCTCGACATCCGTCACTCCAGCCTGCCCGCCTCCAGCGCCGCCCTCGTCACACAGGGTAACGACTACGCCAACGTCGTCGGCTCCTGCTTGGACGTTGCTGGATGCGTCGGCGTCACCATCTGGGGCTTCACCGACAAGTACAGCTGGATCCCTGAGACGTTCAGCGGTGCCGGCGATGCTCTTCTGTGGGATGCCAGCTTCAACAAGAAGCCTGCGTACACGTCCGTTTCGTCTGTCCTTGCTGCTGCTGCTACTGGCGCCGTTCCGACTACGACTTCGCGCGCGACGACTTTGATTACAACTACTACGTCTGCTGCTGCGACTACGAGTACTGCTGCCTCTGGCGCCGGACAGGTCCGCTGGGGCCAATGCGGTGGTATTGGCTGGACCGGACCTACTACTTGCCAGTCTCCTTACGTCTGTACCAAGTCGAATGACTACTACTCTCAGTGTCTCTGAGAGATTCCGGGATTCTTCTGTAATCGCCCGCTCTCTATCGTGAGCAACAGGCAAGGCATGCAGAGGGGACGGCACTTTCGGGGATGGCGGGGTAGAGGTGGGGGTGGGTTCAGTCTGGGTTCCATGCCCATTTGATTGAACGAGATGTAAATACTTGACCTTCATGTTCATACTTACTGAGTGCTTTGATTCATGAAGAATGAATTCAACTGTGTGCTTCTGGCTACCGCATGTTCTTTCGGCAATACTTGATGTTTTGTGTAACCATCGACGTCACGGTTGATGATCCTCCAGAACTGTGTTTTCTTCCACGGGGAAAACCCACTCAAACTCGCTCCCGAGCTCCTAGACTAAGCGTGTGATTGTCGCTACGTCGCTCAGTATGACCACACGTAAGCACAGAAACAATAGAATGGTTACTGATTGAGTTTCCTGATATCATGCTGCACCTCGGCTCGTCGTCGTAGAGTTTAGTGCTCTTAAGTCCGGGAGCGTAAAAATAACTTGGTAGAAGCTAAGGATAGACACATTAGAATCGAGAGACTGGCACAAGCTTCACCGCTAAATCAATCATCCACCAGCTGTATCATGTTATGCAAGGTTAACGCCGATAGTAACCCTCCTCATCGCCTATCGCCGATGGATATACCTAGGAATTTGTAATGATGCCGCGGAAGCGGCGCAACACAAATGGCACAGGCTAGTTGAGGGGAATTCAAAGGCTATTCTGCAAATCTGCGATGCGATCGAATGATACGCGACGCCGTCGTCCCGGACGATCGGCAATAAGCACCTTAGTGCATACCAAGCATACTAACGCACATGTTTCTGTGGGATGGAAAGGGAACTAGAAACAAGCCAGCGAGCCAAGAAGAACGTCTGTCAGCGCCTCCGTCAGCAGGCTGCAGCAGAAAAGAATGAAAAAGCTCCACGCGTGCTGGTGTCTGGCTCGGGAGGAAGCGTACGAAGTACGGAGTACATGCGGATTTTACGCTTGACCTGCATTGCCCCAAGTCACTGACAGGCTGTGCTACGCCGCACAACAGCATGGAACCGAGCAGCTGAACCTCATCCACGGAAACCGTGGGTCTTCATGCTGGAAACGTCAGCTAATTCACGTAGCTTATCTGACTCGCGCGAGCCCCCGCGGTCAAAGGAAATCCGGACTTTTGACCGTGGAGGGGCATTGGGGTTAGAACAAGTTAATCCAATTACATGTCTCAGTTGCCAAGAGCAAAACCCACTGAAGATTTCACCCCTCCTCTCTGCGTCATCATCTGAAGTGGCGGGCGAAGCTAGTCCTTTCCGGCCCAAGCACCAGCGAGCTTGGAAGCTTGACACCGCCAGAAAGGCCAGACCAAAAGCTGAGGAGAACCACCAAAAAAGAAAACGAACCCATCCGCGGCATTGACGGCTGCCCCTGGGCGTCGGAAGGCTCCGTAGATATGCCGGCAAGCTCTCTAAACTGTTTAAACTCGGTATAGTGCCGTCTTAACTCCAGCTAGCTCCGGTCAAGAGAGTTCTTGATGACATGATGAACGAAGGGAAATGGGCCCTAGCTCGCGGCATCTGTGGATGCCGTCATGGACCGTGGCCTCGGTGCTTTGAATTCTAAAAGTTCATACATAAACTCAGTCCCCCTCACCCAGTCGCTGGCATTTATTGCCTGATCAATTCGTGCTCTCCAAGCTTTGAAGACAAAAACCGACTCCGATAGTACCATATCAACAACGCGAGTCAGCTTATCACAACACAACACACACAATCATGTCCGACATCAAGTTCGAAGGATGGCTCGGCCACAGCCCCGACAGTGTCAACGGAAAGATGGAATGGGGCGCATTCGAGCCCAAGAAGTGGACTGAGGACGACGTCGACATTGAGATCTCCCACTGCGGTATCTGCGGTTCTGACCTTCACATGCTCCGCTCGGGCTGGGCTGAGACCCCTTATCGTGAGTTTTCCCTCTTTACCCCGCCTCGACTCAAAACGCGGGGTTTTCAAGCAGGATTTTGTCCATTGTTCATTGCTTACATGTGTTCCCTTCTTCAGCTTGCTGCGTCGGACACGAGATCGTCGGCAAGGCCGTCCGCGTCGGTAAGAACGTGAAGCACGTCTCCGTCGGTGACCGCGTCGGTGTCGGTGCCCAGGCTCGCTCCTGCATGAAGTCCGACTGCCCCGAGTGCTCCATCGGACGCGAGAACTACTGCGGCCGCGCCAACATCAGCACATACGGCTCCGTCTACCCCGATGGCGAGGGCAAGGCCATGGGTGGCTATGCCGACTACAACAGAACCAATGGACACTTCGTCATCAAGATTCCGGATGGTATTCCTTCTGAGGATGCTGCGCCCATGCTGTGCGGTGGTATCACAGTCTTCTCTCCGTTGAAGGAGAACGGCTGTGGACCCGGAAAGACTGTCGGTGTCGTTGGTGTTGGTGGTCTTGGCCACTTTGCAGTGCTCTTCGCCAAGGCTCTTGGTGCTGACAAGGTCATTGGTATTTCCAGAAAGGCAACCAAGAAGGACGAGGTCCTGAAGCTGGGAGCTGATGAGTACATTGCGACCGACGACGACAAGGACTGGTCCAAGACCAATGCCCGCAGCATCGATCTCATCATCTCTACTGTGTCCAGCGAGAAGATGCCCCTGCAACAGTACCTGAGACTGTTGAAGGTTTACGGCACCTTCATCCAGGTTGGTGCCCCCGACGGCGGAAACCTGCCTCCCATCAACGCCTTCACTCTGCTCGCCAGCGGTATCAAGGTTGGTGGCAGCGGTATCGGCTCTCCCTCTGACATCAGGGAGATGCTCGAGCTCGCTGTTGAGAAGAAGGTCAAGCCTTGGGTCCAGAAGCGCCCGCTCAAGGATGCCAACAAGGCTATTGTCGATATGGAGCAAGGCCACGCTCGTTACAGATACGTTCTGGTTAACGAGAAGCACGCCAAGTTGTAAGAGTATCAAAAGGTTCGGATTGGACTATGTAGATTAGAAGATGAATGACGAAATGATGATGAGTTGAAGCAGCTGAGTCTATGAATCTGATTGCAAACATGTGCTCGCACGAATTCTACATTGCATTTTCTTCAATTTGTGGCTAACCGCGGTTTCTCAAGCTCGTGAGCGATTGGGGCCATGGCTCTATCAACAACTAGGGTGCCTACCGTAAGCAAGCTTACTTCACATGTACTTCACAACGTAATCAATGATCACTAAAACTTTGGTGGCGAGATTCCTACGCCAATACACTACTCTTGCTTCAATAATCAAGTACAGCTATGATGTTGTGTTATTGGTGTCCGCTGAGTCACTCTCTAGTCAAGCACTTCCAAGGGTTAAGTCTTTCCTAAAATACGAAGAGCAAACAGGCAGCAAGGCTATTGCTTTAACAGCATGATTATGAATTAAATAGGATATGTAGCGGCTGGTAAGAGTCTTGTCACTTATGTAGGGTTGGTTCTACATTACTGTGAATCATGGCACTCAGACAAGGATGACTATCTCAAAGGATGTTGTCAGCCATCTTCGCGCCGGGGTATTGTTCCTTGAGGCCTTCATCAAGACTCTTTCCGCCCACAGTCATGTCCTTGAAGGCCGGACAGGCCAAGTTGAGGATGGCAGCGCCGACAGTATCGGTGACAAGCTTGAGAGGCGCCTCAATGATGGTAAAGATTGTAGACAGCGAGTTTGGTGAAGCGGTCTTGAGAATCTCAAAGACAAAGCACAGCAGATTGTTGCCTTCCAACAGCTTGGTGAGGTTTAGGACACCACCAGTAAGGTCGGCGAGATTGACTCCTGCAAAGCTGTTGACCTTTCCCATGTTTCCGCCGATGCTGTCGTGTAAGACTCGTTAGCATGTTGCTTGATAATCCTTTGACTTGGGTACTTAGAGTACACGTACCTTCCCAACTCAGGGTACTTGGCAATCCAGGCGAGAAGATCCAAGTTCAACTGGACCAAGCCGTAGTCCACCGGCGTACGGTACCAGTTCTCTGGAATACGTTCCCAGCCTCTGTTGTACGTGAGATTGCCCTCTTCGCCCTCTACAGCGAAGAAGCTCTTCAAAGTTGCCTTGTCTGAATGGAGTCAATACGTCGGTTCATTCTCTGACAAAGGCTGACAACCTACTCAAGAGACCAGTGGGATTCTCCGCGGAGTGGTTCGCAAACAAGCGGCAAGCAAACAGAAAGCCCGCGTTACGAGCAATCATGCCAGTAAAAGGCCCATAGTAGAAATTCGGGTTCGTTGCGATAGTCTCGTTGAAGCGAATAGAGGCCCTGTCAGCGAACAACTCAAAGTTGTAATCGCCCTCGCCGGAAGACATATCGTAGAAGGACTGGAACTGCTCCATGACCATGGTCGAAGCGTCTCCCGTCATGTACAAGTCGGCTCTGGTGTTGGACGAATCACCCTCGATGATGTTGTGGGAGCCATTCAGTCCGCGAGGCGTACCAAGGAGACCGATCAGATTGCCTAGGATGTTGTTGGATCCGCTGGCAGCATCTCCAATGGAGAAACCTGGGTTAAGAGACAGAGGATTTCCGACGAAAACAGTTCCCATCACTCCCAAAATCATTGAAAGCTCCAATCCCATGCCAAACACAGTGTTGATAGCGGCCGTGACCTCGACTAAGCTCGTCACACCCTTGCGGCTGATGTAGCCGTGGTTCGCCAGAGCGTTCAGCCCCGGGCAGGGACCACGCTGGGCGCCATTCTTAAAGTCGGGTGCGATGAACTTATGGTCGCCCGTAACATCGATAGGCGTTGTCAATGGGTCGAATAGTAGCCTCTTTTCGTGTACCTCATGGAAGGCGCTGGCGATGTGTCCGGAGAGCTTGGATGAGAGCTCCTCTCTGAGAGCATCAGCTGCGTATGCGGGGAACCCAAGGACGCCGCTGCCGAAACAGGGCAGAATAGAAAGAGCGTAATGCAGCTTCATATCGAAGCAGCCAAGTCAAAAAGAGTGTGAGAATCGAATGATATGACGTGGGGTTGAAAGAGTGACGATGGATGACTGACGGTTGCCGGTGGGCTTGTGTCAATGATCTAGAGGTGGAGGATTTGAAATCGGAACATTATTCTTGGCCAGTCCCTTTTACTATGGAAGTTGGACGGGCCGCTGGTTCCGCGACGTGCGGAAACCAAACATTGGGATCAACTCGAGTTGGCCTAATCGTGGGCATCGGAAGACAGCCGGCCAGGAGAAACAACATGGGTGGTCAGGTATCGTGGGCTTCATGGCAGTTGGCCCCCAAATCCCACCGGCACTTTCGCCTTCCTTATCATGATAGGGAAAAGATCTTCTCAGGCTTCTTAGCTGCTCAATCTCAATTCTACTCATTGGGAATATGGTATCGATCTGTTGGAAAGGGCAACTCCCATTCCCCAGGGTGATAGTTGGGGTTGCCTGGTTCGTTGTTGTCAAGTAAACTTTACGAGTTTAGCTCGAATAACCCCTGGCCAGCATGTAACCCTTTAGAAATGAGCAATTGTCATATCGAGGCAGCCCAGGATTGATAACTCGAAAGATCTGCATTCGAATTCCCCGATAGCCCTATTTTTGAACTCTGAGGTCTCCAAAACTTTGACGGACTCTCCGGGAACGCAGCAAACTTCCGTCAACGTCTTCTAGCGTGAGCATCAGTATTTGTGAAGTTGCACAATTTGACTGCCCACTGATCGACTGAGGTGGGCGGAACTTAGACTGGAGAACAGCCCAGACTTACAGAGTTGCATTGAGGTGCCGACGTCCACAAGAGTGCCGATTCGGGCTCTCACGCTTCCCGACTAAACCGCACACCGCTGGTCGGTGCCCCTGCACGGTGCAGTGGTTCCGGTTCCATGGCTCAACGGACGCGATGTGCTGCCCATCCGCAAGACATCAGGGGCAGATTCCTACGTGTCTACGGCACTTATGGCAGTGTCAGACGCAATTGGGTAAATTCTCGGCCCCCTTGTGTTCCTGAACCCTATTCGAGCACTTTACAATGAAGATCTCCAACAAAAACCGGGCATGGAATACAGGAAGAATTTGAGATAGAAACATCCACTACAGAGGGTCTCCGCGATTGCTGCATCCCACCGCCTTCGCCGTCTACCCTCGTGCTGCTTCACCAGCTCAGCCCACAGTCCGTGGGCTTGAAGTCGTAATGGCAGAGGCAGAGTCTAGGATGACCAGCACGTGGCCCAGTCGCAGGGTCTGAAACAGATCCCTGTCTGTCATAATTCACGATGCACCCCGCTAGACAGGGGATCCCCGAAGGCTGACCGCTCCATATTTGACGTGTTTGGCAACGGTCTTTCAGGAGAAGAAGGAATGCAACATGCTCGCCTTGCCGCTTTCGAAGTTTGATGTCTAAAATGACTTTCAGAGAGGGTTACATAGATGATTAGGGGGCGCTGATTATGCACAAGGGTAGATATACCAATCGAGCTAGTAGGGCTTGGTGATTTTCGCCAAGAAGTGGCAAAGACCAACAGGGACTCTCTCACCATGGGAAGTCAGAACGATCAGGGCCCGTCTGACGCAGTTGAATCAATGATTCAACGCGTCCCGTATCTGTCGATGGGCACCCGCCCACAAATCGAAAGAAACCCTGCTGCCAGCTAACTTCCCAGAACCTGGTTTTGTCTTCGATGAAATGGAAACAATAACGTACGCCGGGATGTCGGCAGATGTGGCACAGATTTGGGGCCTCTTGGATCAAAAGATGAAAGAGCATTGAATAAGTCTTCATACCGACGGGATTCAGTCATTCATTCATTCCTCCTTCTCCGTCTCTTCTCCTTCTTCCTTCCTTCGTCTTCTTCGAATTCCGTTTCCAGCCCCTCAAACCTGGGACTAGAAACCATGAAATTCTTTGCTTTTGTTTTGTTACTTTCGGCGTGGTGTCAAGGTGTGTGGGGTTTGTCCAAAACAGTTGATACCCCCGCGTCCACGGAGACTCCTCCGTTGTGCGGCGTAAGTCATGCATCCGGCTGACTGCTGGACGACTTCAGGAACTGACATTGGAATAGTTGCAATGCATTCAATCAGTGACTTTGGCAACGCAGCTATGCTCGCTCACCAACGCAACTTGTATATGCACCAATGTCGAGCTGAACGAGAAGATTTCACTCTGTGTGCACTCCAATTGCACTGTTCGGGAGGCACTACGTATGTTACTACTTGCGAAAGGCGACTGAAAGTTGATGTACTTACGATCTTCCCAGTGGTTCAAAGTTACTCCAAGCACACTTGCGGTGCACCTTCACGAGACAGAACTGCTTTAGTATGGGTCACCGGAGTGGTTTTTCTTGTTCTTGGCCTTTTGGCGTTCGTGTTGAGAGTCATGGCTCGACTTTGCCTGGGTGGCCAGTCTTGGGGGCCAGATGACTGGGTTATGTGTATTGCGGTGGTGAGTGAACCCCCTTCTGCCCTACGCAAATTATCGAGTTACTAACAGAATGCTAGGGCATGATGATACCACTCAATGCTCTATCGGTCCCAAGTAAGTCTTTCCATGTCGAGCCAATATTTTATGGTGCTGACTCGTTACCAAGTCTCTCAAGTTGCTCTGGGCAAGGACATTTGGAATGTTCACCCTGACGACGTGACACAGTTTCTCTATGTAAGTCTTTTTCTACAGATGTTCAGTCAAGGCCTTAACTAACCTTTAGTGATAGCTCTTTTACTGGGACGAGCTTCTCTACCTTGGCGCTTTGCCAATCACCAAAATCTCAATTCTACTCTTTTACCTCAAAATCTTTCCCAAAAGAGAAATAAGAATTGGTTGTTGGGTTCTTATCGGGCTCAACGTTGCATACTTCATCACCTTCGAACTCATCTCGATCTTCCAGTGCCGTCCGATCGATGGGGCCTGGAGAGCATGGGACAAGGAGTACCCGGCAAAATGCAACAATATCAACATCCAGGGATGGGCTGCGGCAATCATCAATATTCTTTTGGACCTGGCCACGTTGATTCTTCCATTGAAAGAATTGTACAATCTTTCGCTGTCCACAAAGAAGAAGCTCATGGTTATTCTGATGTTCAGCGTTGGTTTCTTGTATGCTTGACAAATTATCCATCCCGCAAAAGTGTTTGCTGACGAATTCTATCTAGTGTCACTATTGTGAGTGTGGTGCGGTTGCACTCGCTGGCCAGCTATGCAACTACGAGCAATGCGACGCGTAAGTTCCTACCCAACTTACCAGCGGGGAAAAAATAAGCTAATGTGATGCCAGAGGACTACGTCGAGGTCGGATACTGGAGCACTATTGAGGTTCCGGTAGGCGTCATCTGCGCCAGCATGCCTGCCATTCGCTCTTTATTCAGTCTGGTCTTTCCCAAGGTGTTCGGCACCACTCAACGGGGCAAATCAAACTACGCAAATCTCTCTAGTCAACAGAAGGATCTTTCCAACTCCCAGAAAGTTTCATCGAAGGGCTCATCAAAACCGGCTATTCGAGTGCTCAAGGAGTTCACAGTCCGATCGAGACATCGGGACGATGTCTCCTACGTTGAGCATGAACTCACGGCAGGGCCGTTCACAGACCCCAGTTCACGCCCGTCATCAGAAAAGAAGCCCATTACTCCACATGAGTCTGTGTGAGCAAGATATCGTGGGGAATCTCTACTGGCCGGCGTTTACTTGATGTTTCTTACTCTCACTCATTCACCCACTTCCTTCCTTCGGCAATATTTAGACACAGAAGAGGATCGATCCTACTACCATCTTTTTTTAATTTTGACAGCATAAGCTGCACTGAGATACCACATACGAACATAGAACATAAACATAATTCATACCTTCATTATGGAAGTTAACCCTTGCCTTCAGACTTTGCTGCAGTCCGCATTACCCGCCAGGTCAAAGTCCGAGACCCATGTTCCACGCCATCCAAATCAAGTCATGTTTCCTTGGAAATGTTTCTCTTGGTTAGCCCTACCCCAGACCTAGCTTACGGATGCGCTAAAAACCCGAACGCCACTTGACGGGATGAGCATCCTCTTAATGGCCGTTGACTATTGCGCTAGCCAGTATGAGCGTTGAGCAGAAAACACGAAAGCTCGAACAGTGGAGCAGTGTCGTTGGAACAAGGGTCGTTGTCAAGGGCCTCCTCAACGAAATGCCGATCTCTGCCTTCTTTTGGTCTTGAAGGAGCTTCACGTCTTTCATTCCTATCTCGTCAAAACTTTCTCTGCAGAGCGAACCCCTCCGTTAGAGTTCCATTCTCATCTTCTTTCCCTGCGAAATCAATCTTTCTCGAAGGTTTCAGTGGCATGCGGTGGGGGCTATACCATTTCCATCTTGGGACTTATTGGGGGTCTGGGCCCCCCGTTGTATCTGTCATTGCGATCGTCTGCCTTGCAGTTTTAGCCCAGCCGGGGGCTAGGAAGCGGTCCGTAGAAAGACTGCCCGCAGCAATGTCTGAGTCAACCTCCCTGCAAAGCCATTGTCAGAGCGCATATCGGCTCCCTCGCGCCCGCAACCCTTGTTAATGCTGAAGCATCACGAATAACGCCAACGTCTAACGACAAACTTAGCATTATGTTTGCGTTGCATCGTCGAGTTCAGCTCCTTGGCAGCTTTTATGCCAACGGCCACTCTTCATCGCAAGAGGCCTGGACAAACTTTCTGCTGCGTGATCTAAGGTTTCTCGTGGCATTGATTCCTTGTGCATCGTGGACTCATGGTTATCCTCAGGTGACCAATGCAGAATGCGGAAGCCTGCTGAACCTTGTATCCTTCGAGCTTTGAATCAGTTCTCTGGACTTTTCCGCAATCCCTGAGTTGGAGGGTGGCATCGGCAATGACAATTAACCCACTTACCTTCTGCCCTTGAGTTCAAACTCGACGGAAGAGCAGGGCATGGTAGGCATGAATTTTCCTAATCCATGAGGACTTCGAAGGTTGGGATCCTGGATTACGAAGAGGAGAATTACAGTTTTCAGCGTGTCCATGGAGTAGTCCACCCAAAAAGAAGTCGTCATTGAGGACGATCAACATGAAGGGTCGGCATCTTGAAGCGGAGCAGGAACACGGCATCTCCTGAGGCCTGTCACCTCGGACAATTCCCATTCCCTAAACTGACAGTTCTCCGATGGGCCTCACTTCCAAAAGACAGGGCTTTGTTACCAGACCGCCTATCAACACCGCTTAGGTAATGGCTGGCCTCTCCTTTCTTTCCCTTCAGGCTATCTCATCAGTGCCGTTGACCAAGAATATCAAGCTTTCAAATGCGGCTCGTCTTCGATCTGACTCGATGTCCTGAGACCTTTGTATCCATCTGACCCATTGTCACTCTTTTTGTCTTTCTAGCAGCCCGTGTTGCCAAGCGCCCAAGATGCGCGTTTCACTCCTTTTCACACTCGTTACTGTTTTGGCCGACTCAGCCTCTTCCATGTAAGTCGTTACGAGCAGACTTCTTTTTGGAGACGCAAACAATTGACGTTATCATTAGCGCTGTCCCATGGAAGACTGCAAGGCAACAACCTCGTCATGAGCCCTTCATTGGTCGACGTGCCGCCAACACCACTCTTGACAACTACGACTATGTCGTTGTTGGCTCAGGTCCTGGAGGAGGCCCTGTTGCGGCCAACCTTGCCATCGCCGGATACAAGGTGTTGCTGATTGATGCTGGAGGAGATTCAGGCGACTCGTGGACGGAGAAGGTCCCGGCTCTTCACCTTATGTCCACTGAGTTTGAGGACACAAGATGGAATTACTTTGTAAGTCTTCCAAGTAATCGAAGAGCGTGACAGAAAGTGCCTTGGCTAATATCATGTAGGTCAACCACTACCCCGACCTCGAGCAACAGAAGAGAGATTCCAAGATGACATACGAGATGCCCGACGGCAGTTTCTACGTCGGGCTTGATCCTCCAGCTGAAGCAACCCCTCTCGGTGTATGGTATCCTCGCGCCGGAACTTTGGGAGGCTGTTCTCGCCACAACGCTCTCATCACCATCAACGCTCATGACAGCGATTGGACCAACATTGCCACCCTCACCGGCGATGACACCTGGAAGCCAGACAACATGCGCTCGTACTTCCAAAAGATCGAGAAGAACATGTACCTTCCATCAAGCATCATCGGACATGGCTACAGTGGATGGCTTGGTACCTCGCTCACTTCTCTGTCACTGGTGGTTGAAGACCAGAAGCTGCTCTCGTTGATTATTTCTGCTGCTACTGCCATGGGGAAGAGCCTTCTTGGATTAGTGCTCAGCACCGTCACTGGTCTTGGCCAGGTCCTCCTCCGCGATCTCAATGCGCCTGGTCAGACTAGCAAGACTGGATTATACCAGGTTCCGCTTTCGATGACTGATTCCATCCGCGGTGGCCCCAGAGATCTCATTTTGGATACTGCCAACGCTGTCAATGCTGATGGATCGCGCAAGTATCATCTTGATATCAAGCTCGATACCCTTGTAAGTTTCCTTGAACCAGAGTTTCAAAGAAGTTGATAAATCGTTTCATTTACTAAACTTCTTTAGGTCACCAAGATTCGATTTGATGAGAGTGGTGACAAGCCTCGCGCGGTTGGTGTGGACTTCTTGGAGGGCTCCAGCCTTTACCGCGCCGATCCCCGCTCAGGATCTGCTTCATCGACGGGATCTGGTAGCGCTGATGCCACTCGTGAGGTCATCATCTCTGCCGGGTCTTTCAACACACCTCAGCTTCTGAAGCTCAGTGGTATCGGTCCGAAGGCAGAGCTCGACTCTTTCAAGATTCCTGTTGTCGTCGATCTCCCTGGTGTCGGAACCAATATGCAGGATCGCTACGAAGCAACTGTGATCGGGAAGACTAACAGCGACTTTGTCATTACAAGTAAGTGCACCTTCTTGGAGACGTCTCCCGACCCTTGCCTCGAGGACTACCAGAACGGTCTCGAGCCCATCACTAAGGGTGTGTACGCCACTAACGGCATCGCGATTGCCGTCATCCTCAAGTCTTCCGTTGCCGAGAATGAGCCCGACTTGCTCATCTCCGGCGCGCCGGCCAAATTCAAGGGGTACTTCCCCGGCTACGCCTCTGACTCGCTCGCCGACGCACAGCATTGGGCGTGGATCATTCTCAAGGCTCACAGCAGAAACAATGCCGGTACCGTGACCTTGAAGTCGACCGATCCCAGGGACATGCCCCTCATCAACTTTAACTACTACGACACGGGTGTCAACAGCAACGGAGAGGCCGACAAGGATCTTCAGGCTACCTACGAGGGCTTCGAGTTCACCCGAAAGGCCTTCGACAGCCTCATCCCGCTCGACGGTAGCTTCCCCGAGGTTTGGCCCGGTACCAACACCTCCACGGAAGCGGACGCCAAGCAATTCCTCAAGGACGAGACATGGGGACACCACGCTTCGTGCACTTGTCCTATCGGTGCTGATGATGACCCGATGGCTGTCCTTGACACTAACTTCAAGGTCCGCGGCACCGAGGGCCTTAGAGTTGTTGATGCTAGTGTCTTTCCCAAGATCCCTGGATTCTACATTGCCCTGCCGTTGTATGTGGTGTCGGAGAAGGCTAGCGATGTGATCATCCAGGAAGCCAAGGCGTCATCATCCTGATAACTCCATAACCATTCAACACTCGCAGGAATATCCTACGTAAATTACAACTTCGTCCCAGCGCGCGTACAGGTCTTGGCTTTGGATGGAATAATGTTCTAGATTAATAATACAAAGATACCAAATTCATTTCAAAAACTGTTGTCGCACTGTTATGCGACGTAAGCTGACGCGAACACGAACTGACGTGAAAGACACCCATATGTTGTTTACATGGAAGTGTGGGCTAAGAAACTAGTTGGCAAATGGATGATGTTCCTCGAAAAGAGCAGAATGATCGGGGCCGAGATCATCGCTGACTATGGCGCTTAGAACCAAATTGTATTCTGCAGAGAGGCCTTGGCTTATGTTCATCGTATTGACTCATGAATTTGAGAATGATATACCGTCCATGTGCTCAGTTAAAGTCTTGAGTAAAACAATTCGATGTCGGCTACAATAGTACATACATGACTTATTGGTAAGTTGTGCATTTGAAATACACGATCTATCATGCCGCACTAGATATCAAGACCAAAATGGGACATCAGTCTGATGACCAGGACTCACCCACCGACAAAAGTACATGTATCTAGGGGCATGGAGCCTAGTCAAACTTTCGAAAGTTTTATGCATCTTGTACTTGAGGTATGTAGACGACTCTATTATTCTAAGTTACAATAAGGTTTATTGAACAAAATCAATTTTCAACCGCACGGGTGGGCCTGGGCCTTTGTAGAGGCGTAAGGGATGTTCTGTCTGAAGGACCTCACGTCATATTTGGAAAAACTGCTCTCCACTCACAGTTGACTGTAACCCAGCTAAGTTCAATGACATTAGCAGGCTGATATCAAGTCCAGTCCGATGCACAACGCGCTGTCAAAGAAAGTATTATGCCTGAAAGGTCACCTTCTCTGGAACAGTTCAAGTAAGTGATGATATAGAGGTAGGAACAGACGCATGAGTAAGCGGCGAGACCTCGTTAGTCACTACGCACGTGACGGGATACTTACTAATACTAATCATAGCATGGTTATTCAACAACGGCTTTCCCCATGCAACTCAACCGTGACCGGAAGTACAGGCTGGCAAGCTTTCACTTCATACTGACTTCGAGAAGATACCTAGATTGGGCTCAGCTGTGGATAGACGTGCTGGTCAACAAGTGCTTGTCACAAGAGCGAAATGAGAGGGACACTTTCACGCTCATGTATTTTCAGTCACTCAAGCGTCTTGAGGTCTTCCTTGCTGCAAAATCCTGGCAAGCTTCCGAGTACGATATCACAGCTTCTCAAGTGTCGTGGTCTTGACGGCTTGGTTCCGCTGGTCTCACATATTGTTGTGGACGAGGACACCAGACCAAGGGCCTACAGAAGTCACAGAGCTTATGTTTAGTGACTTGAGTAGAACTGTTCACATGATTGGAGCGATTCCTCCTCAGTCACTCCGCTGCTCACACGACCACGCACTTACCCAAGGGGGAATAGAATGGAATTCTGGCAGCTGTTTCAAGGAGAGCCGCAAACGATCGACGCCGGTGGTCGTCTGCAAGCAGGGTCCACGGAATTGGATTTCTGGCATCTTGCAGATGTCCATGACGACAATATAGTCAGGGACAGCTCAATGAGTTGAGCCTCAGCGGGGCATCCGTAAGTCACATCACACGACGTTTCCCTTCGTTTGCCTTCATACATATGTTCTACTTGATACATACCGGGAAGTCATCATGACACTCATAAGGTTGCTCAGTGGACTTTAGTGACAAATAGTCACATTCCGCAATTTGATAAGTGAAGACTTCTTACTCACAAACATTGAACGGACTGCTGATCGAACCCGCCTTCAAAAACTGCCAATTCTGCCCACATTGCGATAAAATTTGGACGTCCAAGTCATAGAGTACCCGAATCTCGGACTGCCGAGCGAGTGAGTTTAGGCAATCAACTATGCGCCTACAAGGCGTGACCGCACGTCATTCGAGAAACATTAATACGTAGTTGCTGAAGACCGGATTCAGTCGAAAGTCCGGTTAACATCCATATCAGATCGAAAAGAAGGAGAAGCAAAAAAACAGTCATTTGGATTCAATTGCGCAAGTAACGGATCATTCACTTTTGACTCCCCACTTCAGTCTCGCGATGTCGGAACCCGGAAACAGGGCTACTACCGAGGTTGACCTCGGCTATGAAATGAACACCGAAAAACCTCGATGACTCTGTATGTAGGCAGACATCCCCATTGTATGATTGATTCTGTGCTATGGTATGATATGACCTTAACCCCGGAACATGAGGTTATGGTTAAAAGCTGCGCGTCCAATTTCCAATGCGTGATGAAAAGGGCCGAATAGATCGACGCTTGAGCACTTCGCGCTCCGACCCCAGTATGAAAACAAGAACCCCAAAACTCCACAATAACCATCATGGGAACAGCATCGGATTCCGAAGGAGCCTCACGAACATGGAGGAGTGGGAAGCTGCGTGACAGGCAAACATCAGTCAAGGTACCCGCATGGCAACCCAGGCTCCATCTGAGGGCTGACAAACCCTGAAAGGCGGTAGAGGTCTAGTTCTCCAATACTTGCATGGGCAACTCCACAAAACTCAACTGTTTCCCCATGGGTGTGGTCTGCTTGGGAGGAGTGGCACGGTGATTTGATGGGGCCTGGATATCCCACAAATTGCTGTATCCAGCAGTCTACTAGCATCGAATGCCGGCATTCTGCCCGGGCGTGGAATTAGCATGACGTAGGCGCCGCTCACGAGACCTCTAGCACCGGGACACTGGGAATATCGGGAGAATGAAGTTGCGTACGCAAATATTTTACCATCATCGGCATCGTGAACGGCTTTTCTGCCATGGATCAAGGCGGACTCTTGGCGTTAAGAACGGACTCCGCGCTAATCGGCCGATCAGCAGTTCAGCGTTACTGAATAGCCGTTGTTTTACCGGCGGCAGGCTCCTCAATCTTCTCTATGACATGTTCCACGCAGCACGAGGCTCGGTTTTCAGCGTAAATCATGACCCGAAGGCGAAGAACAGGGCCGATTAGATGTGCGGGGAAACCGGGGACACTGGGACAGAGAATTGTTTCTCTCCGACCTGGGACGACCAGTTCCACGGCCTTGGCCCCAGAGTCCCCTCAATTTCTGAGTGTTCGTGAAGAGATTCCCCTAAAGAGCTACTCCAACCGCCATCACGAAGAAATTTCAAAGAAAAAACCTGCGTCTAGAGTCCTCTAGTGTCGGCGCAATGTCGGACCTCCACACAAAGTCGTGTGTCCCAGTGGTCCACTCACCTTAACGGCGGGGGCGGGGGTGGCTGGGATCAAGCCGGGGGCGATGCTTCTACCCTTTGAAAAGCCGGTACGGAGCAAGCTTTGGGTGAGGTGAGAGAGTGTTCGGACCGGGGGTTCGCTCAGGAAAACAAAAGCTTGGAGTCTCCAGGTTTTCCAGTTGTCACCCGATCCGCATCCCCCACATATTGGCTCGTGTTCCTTGTCCCGCCCACAGCGGCAGTTCTCCGGAAGTTAACTTTGAATGCTACGGCGCAAACACCGACAGTCAGGCGCGCCATGTGTGGTTATTACTCCATCCTACTCCGTACTCTGTAGAGTCTGCCCGTCGTCGGGAAAGCGACCCCATTTTGGCATCCAGCAGTCGGCCTGATGCGGAGTTATCGCTGGTAGTTCTGGAAGCCGGGCGGTGAAGGATGCTGAGACCTGATGAAAGAGTCAATTGTTCTGGAGGCCCAATGACTCGATCTTCCCGCTTAACAGCTGTTCCAGCGATTCTATGACTAGTCATACCCGCCGTTAAGAGAATTACACCCCACAACCCATATGACGATGTGTGGCCACCTCTAATCAGACTGGACACTCGGCAAGATTCCGCCTCCCCACGTGTATAGCAGAGCCTTTTCCGGACCTTGCCGTCGGTTTGGCAACCATCTAGAGACTAAGCCTAGTGTAGTCATCGCGTGCGTCGCTGGAAAATCTACGGCTGAATACCCTGCCCAATATCCCACCACCTCGCGCCTTGGTGAGCATCTTTCGGGTGTCAACCGGTGCGGGGCCGACTTCCGGACCATGACGATGTGCATTACCAATGGGAACACGATCATGATCAGGTTTTCCCCGACTTTGTCGTTGCCCGCGCGGAGGTTACGGGGAGGGGAGGGGTCTATCCAGGTCACCGGCGAGCAGAGTGCGAGGGCGACGAGGATATGGTGGACTGACGTTGCTGCCGACGATGAACAGGTAACATATAAAGGACGGCATGTAACCCCCAATCGATGGAATTTTGGGATCTTCAGAACAAGCCGCCAGTCAACAGCTCAAGGATCTCAAAATGTCCGCAGCTCTGTCTCTCTTCCTATCCGGCCTTCTGTTGGCACCCTCAGTCAACGCTCAGGCGTATGACTCTGGTGACCGATCTGAAAATGCCTTCAGCTGGATTCAGCCGGTGAACACCACCATCCTCGGTCCTTACGGTGACTCCGAGCCAGTCTACCCTTCCCGTAAGTTTCTCGGATCACATCTGTGACTTTAGGCCAAATATCTAACTCAATTATCAAGCCAACACCACCGGTACCGGTTGGGAGGATGCCCTCGCCAAGGCAAGGGAGTTCGTCTCTCAACTGACCATCGAGGAGAAGGCCGACATGGTCACTGGCCAACCGGGTCCTTGCGTCGGAAACATCGTCGCTATCCCTCGTCTTGGTTTCCAGGGCCTCTGCCTCCATGATGGCCCCCTGTCCATCCGTGTTGCCGACTACGCCAGTGTCTTCTCCGCCGGTGTCTCTGCTGCAGCCACCTGGGATAGAGATATCCTCTACGAGAGAGGTCTTGCCATGGGCAAGGAGTTCAAGGCCAAGGGCGCCCACGTTGCTCTCAGGTTTGTCCATCTCCGTGCACTCTTTATGTCCAACACCTACTGACCACTCAAAGCCCCGTCGCTGGCCCCCTCGGTCGCAGTGCCTACTCCGGCAGAAACTGGGAAGGCTTCAGTCCTGACCCTTAC